ATAGGAGAATAACGTTGAATAGCCACAATACCAAAATTATTTACGGGTAAATATCTCTCCTCATACAATTTGGCCAACACAATCGCCCTCAACAAGGAGGTTGGTGACTAAGCAACAACATCATAGCAAATTTCAACATGAAGATCACTTAAAAAATAATTCAACAAAGCATCATCCTGTAAACTAGAAGATCTATGAGCGAGAGACATAAATTTTAGATTATAATCAGAAATGGTACTGGTTTGTTGCAATTTGAAAAGCTCCACCATCGGAGAATCGAAAGGAGAAGGTCCAAACTGTGATTCCAGTGTTGTTGTCAGTTCTGCCTAGGTCTTAACTACAAAGAGCCATTGTAACATTTGGAACCATGGTACGACATCTTTCTCAAAATGTATTGCCACAATATCAACTCTATCACCATCTGGTGTATAGTGATAATCGAAAAACTTCTCAGCCTTAAAAATCCACTCCAACATTGAAGATTGGCCATCAAAGTGAGAGAAATTTAGAGAAATATTATTAACATGAAACGTACTATGCCATAATTGAATTGAGGATGTGAATGAGACTACAGCAACAAATCTAAGGAATGTTAGATTTGATCCATGTGATATTGAGTGTCCATTTGAACTTGTTTAGTATGAGCTCATTGTTCACGATTACGAAGGTCTAAAAAAGCTCTGTCAATTTCTTAATATCATCAACTTGACCACATACTTCAGCTTGCAATTTCTTCAAACACATTATCAGCCACGACGTCAATAAAAACACCACTGAAACGATAATTTTCTTTAAAAAAAATTAAAATAGAGATAACAACTATTGTTTTAATGAAAATGACGAATAAGTATAAGTTTTGATAAACTAAAATAAAATTGAAATCTCAACAACAAAAAATAATAATAAAATAACAATAAGACAAGAATAACAGAGTTCGCCAATCGTCACAGTATTTATAGAACTTGAATCATGAAAAAATAGAATAAAAAAAATTAAAGAATAAAGAAAAAAAATTTAAAAAGTAACATACCACACGCATAATGAATTCATTGTACAAAATTCTTTTCCTTCGACCTACCAATTGCAAATCATACTTCATGAGCTTTTCTATGTAATAGACTTTCCCTCTTTGTCCACCTAGTACCAACGAGTGAAAAATTAGGGGTCATTAACTATTTTATTTGAATGAAAAAAAAAAACTTTATTCAACTTTCATCTTAATTTGCTCATAAAATGTAACTGAAATTTTACCTTCAACCTACAAGTCTTACATTGTTCTACTAAATTAATTGCAAAATTTCATATTAATTTTTTTTACTCTGTTCAAGAGAATTCTACTTGTGGGCACGCTTTCATCATTTACAATTGCGTCAGAATTCTCACCATCGTTTTGTTTTCTTATGAATGTACTCCAAAATGTAGAATGTGATTTATTTATGTACAAATAATTTTTTCTTATTCTGAAAATGAAACAAATAAATGTGGACTGCATGCAAGTACTCAATAACCGATTATATATACTATCACATTTAACTTTGATATCTATATCTATATTTAAATAAAATTAAAATAGTAAGCATCATTAGTTCAGGAACTACACTTTTATTTATGGAAAGGAACAGATACAGCAACTTCAAGGCATAAAATGCAGCATCTACAACAAACACTGGTCTCATAACTAAAATGATTTAAACTACGAGAGAAAAACATGGGACAAGGACCCACAACAACGTATGAGATTACAAACAAATGGACATTCTTTCGCTTTTATTCATTACAAAATGGACATTTCTTATTGGTCATCACAAATGGACATTCAGACCTCACTAATTATTATTCAATTGAAATTAGACATACTCGCTGGGGCACTTCCACCCATATGCTTATCATGGGGTGTGGTGTCCACGCCAGTGGGACCTGAGCCCACCGTATCATTAGTGGGTCCTCCATGCCCAAGCCCATGTCCATGCACAGTTGTCGTTGACATCTGGTCAGCCCCCAATGGCTGTCCATTCTCACCAGTGGGGTATGTGGCAGTCACATGCCCGGGCCCAGTGGTAGAATTTGTACTGGCTGTATCAGGCTCACTGGTAGAATATGTTGTGTGTTGCAGCTTCAAGCCTCGGCCCAGTGGTGTTGGAGTGGGCCTGGGCCATGTGTCCAGCTATGGCATATTGTTTAGCGGCGGCGTTGTACTCACGGGCCTTCTGCTTATTCATCTCTGCTTGGTTGATCCTCTCCTCTTTCTTCTTGGTTGCCATATCCCTTTGACTTTGATCTTCTGCATCGATTATCTCAGCCTGTTGTGGCCCATTGCAAAATCACATTCATGAGTTCCATATATTGCACTGATTAGTAGAACCCCAAAGAACCCAAGTAATCCATCATTCATTTTATTTGGCCTAATTGATCTGTCAACATTCAAATGGATCTCTAACATAAAACTATATTGAAATCATAGTTGTTTGATTTAAGCATGGTCTACCATATTATATATTTTCTTTTGCAAGGTGTTATGATGATGTAACTAAATAACCATGTTAGCATTAATGATTTTCGTTTTTACAAAACTTAGATTAAGTTTTATATATATATTATCATCCAGCTTCTCATTCAAAAAAGGCAAGTACAATATTTTAAATTACAAAATTTTTTCATCATATACATTATAAAATTGTAAATAAATTCGTATGTGTTGTTATTTCATTGGAGAATTTGATGGCAACGATGCTAAAGAAACATGATGATGAACAACAATGTGGATAAAGTAAATTGCTAAGAAGACAAAAATGAATCAAGCAATAAGTAAAAAAGAATATATTAAAATATATATTTAAAAAAAATAAAAGAAGGAAAAGGAAAATGACCTTCTCTTGGATAGTGGCCTTGGTCTTCTCCAAGCCAGATTTAGCAGAGGCACCAATGTTGGCTGCGGTTTCCTTAATGGTCTCAACTGCTTTCATCGCTGCTTGCATTTTCACACAGTTTCTTCTGTTTTTTTAATCAATTTCAATTTCAATAACAAGAGGAAGGGCAAGTTAACACCCAGAGTTTATATAAATTTAGGTGCTCTCTATTCTTTTCACACGTGTCCAACAAAGTACACGTGGCATCTTTCTAAGGGCAATGGAGTTAATAATCTTACACGCAACTGCCACGCGTCTCTTGGTCAGTAACTTAAGGATGTAACGCCCTTTATTCGGAGGTTACCAATCATAGATACCCAACGGTCATGCCCTTCGTGGTTCCTCTAAATTTTGTCTTATTTTTTTAATAAAAAAAAGAAACATAATAAGCTTTAATTTTCATAATTAAAGGTTAATAGATCAAGCTCAAGTCATCAATCCCCACCGTGAATTCAAATGTATATTATTTGGGTTTGGAACAAAGAAATTTTCTCCCAACATTTTCACTTGCACACCAAAAACTGGTGCTCATAGATTGAATGGGTTGATGTTAATATACAAATGCTTTGGTAAAAATAAAAATAAAAATCCCATTATAAGAGTTGGATTGAGAGGGATATTTCTTCTATAAAAGCGTTCTTTCTTGATATCTCTAGATAGAAATTTTATTTTCTCACCGTTTTAATTTTTTTAAAATTTGTTTTGGACATAATAAATATTTATTGCTTTGAATTTACAACAATATAACAGAATACCTAATTTATTTGAATGACTCTACTATTTTTATCTGCAAATTAAATAGCTACATTTCGAATGAAAGAAAGCTCAAGTTTGTCACAAATAATTTGTTGGCCGTACTCTGGCAGCAAGACATAATAGCCTAGATGATTAATCGATTTTTATTAAATTAAATTTAAGAATTTAAAAATAATAATTTTTATTAAAAAATTTAATTTATCATTTTAAAGATATAAAGTCTTATAAATAGTTTTTTTTTTCATAAAATCATATCATTGTTATTTATTTAAACTTAGTTCTAAGAGTTGAAATTAACCAAATTAATAATTAATTAATGTGATTGATTTTAGAATCATAAGTTGGTATTGTGCAAAATATATAATTTTTTTAATAATCGCAAGGGAGGATATACTATCGAAGTATCAAAAAATTACTAAAAAAATATAATAAAGGTAATAGGTACAGTGACCAAAATGTTGAGTCCTGAACTTGATCGATGCATGAGTTATATGCAATGAAGAACATAATAAATATGAATAGGGAAGGACCAGTCCTGGGTCTTAATTTTGCATATTCTTTAATGCTTTTTGAGTAGTTCATATTGATTACTATCCACTTCTCCTTTAATGCTTATTGAATTATTGTGAAGTTCCCTCTGGCTCTGACGTCGGTGAAGTGAAAGAATTATTTTTGAAATCTGAATATTACATTCAATAGATTTTGTTATTTTTTTTTCTAAATAATATGTTTTTGTTATTGATTTCTCTTTGATGACTATTATCGTGGGAGTGTGGAGAGGGACTTAAAAAAGGTTATAGAAGAGGTTATTGTAAGATAAATTAAGTATGTTAAATAATTATAATTTTTTTATAAAATATTTATCATATTAAAAATAAATATTATTTAACATTTTTTTCAAATAATTGAAAACATTTGTTTTTTTTATGAAAGTTGTTATGACAATCAAATTAAATATATTTATTTTATTTTATTAATTATCTTCTATTTTTTTATTTTTATGTAAAAATTTAAAACAATGTTGATTATTATTATTTAACTATGTCATTATTTTGTCTCATTTTTAAAATTAGAAACTAACATATTATATTATTTATATATATGTTATCTTTCAAACACAAATATATATATATATATATAGAAAATCGAAATATAAAAAGTTGAACAAGTAATTATTCAGGTGAAATAACTGAAAGAAAGAAGGAAAGAAGATTTATTTTTGCAATTTGCAGCTGAGTGAGTGCGACCGTGCCTGTTGTACTCATCGGCGAAATCTCCGACCTTTCTGTAGTTGTTTCCGTCAATCATCATCACCAACGTTGATCGCACAGAAAAACAATGGGTTTAGGTTTTGTCGTTGGATTCCTCGGCCTTCTCATTCTATTTCACGCCGCATATTTTACCATCCAATGTATGCATCCCTCTCTAGAATTCATACTTATTTATTTCAACTTTGTTGAGAATTAAAAAAAAAAAACTTGGTTTGGTTGCAGATAAGGCTTTGTTGAAGATCACACAGGAAGAATTTTCAGGGTTTCCTTTGAATGTGAGCGTTGATTTGTGTTGGTGATTATTTATTGGAACTTTTGGAAATCTTAGATTTTGGTAATTGCAGGTGGTAATTGAGGTGTCTATTGGATTATTGTTTTGCATGTGGGCTGCGCTGACTGTGCCTGGCAAGTTGTTTTCCATCCACCCTGATTCTGAAGAGAACAGGTAAACTACTGCTCCTTGTTTCTCTATTTGGAAGTTTGATCTTGTGAACGGGAAATTATGAACATGTTTGATTTCCTTTTTAAAAACTGTTTTAATCAAACATACCTTATGCTTTTGGTTTATTTGCTTTTGTCACCTTACTGGAAGTAATGTTAGTAAAAGGTCATTTTAATTTTGAAGAACTAGCGACTGGATATCATCTGTGTCCAATGAAAGCTAATATTCTTCCTTGACTTTGGAAGGCTACCTAGTGATTTCAGCTTTGATTGTGAGTTTGATTCAGGGCATGTTTGAAGGAGATTATAGAAATAGCTTATGACTTTCATAAATTATTTTTATCTTATTTTAACAAGTTTTTTGGTATATTTTATCAAAATAAGTTGTTTTCAGCTTATCCTAATAAGTTTCATGATTAAATTGATGACATAAGTTAATATTTAAAAAGAATTTATTGAATAAACACTAACCTAAGTAGCGTATCTAAATGCACTTTTAAGGGGGAGAAGTTTTTTTTTTTTTAAATTTGCCCTTATTTGGAAGTTATTAAAACGTGAAGAGAAGGAGTAAGAGAATTTCAGAATTCCTCCAAAATCCTCTATAATGTAATTTTTCAGTTCTCTTAATTTGAAAGATTTTTGTAGAAAAATGAACATCCAAATAAGAAAGGAGTTTAGTCTCTCTTCTCCTTCCCTTTTTATGTTTGGCGGTAGTATACCTTGACTTGATCAAGTTCCATTGCTTGGCTGATAAGGCTGAAATGGTAGAAGAATGGGAATAGAGAAGGTTTGGAAATTTAGGTTGTAAAGGGAAGTTAATATGAATTCAGCTAACTAATTCTCAAATAGTTGCTTGTTCCAAGAAAGTTATGCTTTAGTTGCCTCACACTGGGTTGGTCTTTTGCATATAGTATATACTTGACATAGCTATGAACTCAAGGTTATCAAAATTGAGTTTCAAGGTTGGAGCGGAAGAAGGGTCTCGGATCGTAGGATCGGTGGATTGTAACACGACTCGCAAGAGTCAACTAAAAATCAAAATTATATTTAAATACATATCTATATCAATAAAAAAAGAACATATATATAAAAAACAACCCTAAAATTACTCCAAATAGTTAATTAAACGTCAACTAAAGATTCATAAGGTCTTTAACAACTCAGAAGTTATAAAGTCACATACATTTTACAAAACATAATAAAGCAAAAAACACTGCCACCAGTAACATTCGAACCAGCCTCATTAACACTGGCAACAGTACTGTTGTTACCACTCGTTGCCATCATCGTGGAGTAAAAAACAAAGTACAAGCAACAGGAAAGAGACTCAGTGATTGAGCACACAACAGAAAGAAGGAGAACACCACATGCAGAGCAATAGAGGAATGCAACACTGACAAAGGGAAAAACAGAGAGGTAGAAAAAAAGAAGGATGAAGCAAAATGCAACACAGAAGAACAGGAGAGGCGCGAACCACAACCGACGAACACAATCGTGTTTTCAGAGGAGAATGTTTGGTGGGAAAAAGGTAGAAATGTGTAAACAATTTGGGAGTAGTTGGTTTTGAAAAGACAGAAAAAATTAGGGTTTTTTAAATGTTGGTTCTGCAACCCTACCCGCTTCGAATGTGGGTTTGAAGCGTTTGGAGGTGCGCTGACCCAATGATTCAGAGCTTTGACGCAACGATACAAGCTGCTTCAGCACAATTCGCCAAGCTGTTTCAGCAGGGAAACTGCGCCAATGCAATGCGCAACTTGCAAAAGGGTGGAAAAAGTGTTGAATTGTGTGATTCAATGCTCCAATTTGCAATTTTGACAACGTTGCATAAACTAGACGTGCTTGTTGTTAGCCTTGTTGGATATTTGGGGGGGAGAATGACTTTTGAGGAGATTTGATTTTAGAAGATTAATATTGGAAGAGAGAGTTTTATGGTTCAGGGGTAGATTATTATTTGAATGAACTGTGATATGTGATTTTATAGTGCAAAACTCATTGCAGGATTCAGAAGAATTACTTATGGGATAATGCCCAGAATGTATTATATCATACCTGATGTAAGTTGCTCTTATTTTGTCTGTCTTTTCCTTTAAAAACTGGTCTACCTTGAACCAGTTCTGTTGTATTAGGTCCTACCTTCCCTTAGGCACAAAGCATACTGATGGAATTGGATTAGAATATAAAAAAGAAATAGAAATTTTGTTGATAGAAAACGCTTTCACTTGACCTGTATTTAAGAGACGAGAATAAAGATGAAAAAAAAAAATTTGAATACGGAGTTGTCCAAGTATTTGAGAGACTTGGGATCTTCCTCACAATTCCACTCTGAAACCAAAGACCCCCTCCACCTTCTTCTAGTTATACCCTTTTCCCCCTTTTACTTACATTTCTAACCCACTAATTGACAGTCCAGCTGACAGACTAAAGTTACTAACTGATTTCAAACCCTAATGAGATATCTAACAGATACAGGTGTACTTAAGAGTGAGAAGTGAAGCTCCACTGAAATGGAAATAAAGTAGGTGAGGATGACAGGACTGGCAAAAGGTTTACTTTCACCATGCATTTTCGGTGGGAAGGTAAAAGCCGAAAATATTCAAAATCATCTTTACCTACCTTGCTTTTTAGGAGTTCGGAAACAGATAGACAAATACTTCAAGGCAAGATGTAAGAGTGAGCTAGCAAATATTCATTCTGTTAGGGCTAATGATAATGTAAAATCTCATGTCCAGTACATGGGATTACTTCATTGAATTTTTTTCTGCATCTCATTTATTACTTATTTAATTTTGCTCCCTTCGTCTCAAACTAGATGAATAATTTATTGACACCATGATTAATTTATTAAACTTTTTATTGTGATTCTTCCTGCATGATATATACCTAGAGAACCCATGGTTTCATACACAGTTCATGATTTAGATTGGATATTCAAGCAGCAGTGGATGAACTAGATAACTAACAATATTTATGAATGGGAGGTATGGAGGAGGAAGAAAAGGGAAAGGAAAAGAATGCCTGTTTGGAAAATTTTTAGTGAGGGGAAGGAAGTGGAATGTGTTCCTCATTTCCAATGTCTATACATTCCTGTTCTATTTTCTCCAAGTTTTCTTCTTTATGCATGTGCAATCCCCTTCCTGGGACTAATAACTGCTTGTTACCAGAAGTGGAGAAGGATTTTATCTGTTTTCCTTCAATGAAAGTGTACTTTCTTTTTGGTATCTTATCATAGTTGATCTCCTTTGCTTACTTAAACAGCAAAACAAAGGGAAGTAACTCCCTTTTCCATCCCCACTTCTCCATTTCCTTTCCTCTCCTCTAAATAACTTTATTTCAAATATAACGCAAATTATCATCCATATGTATTGGTGAAGGTCCATTAATTCATTAATTTGTCATAGTACCATGAAGCTACTTCTGTTAGATTCTTCATTCATAATTTTGTATATTAGATTCTAGGCAACTGGATTTGACAAATATGCTTAATTTGGCATTATTTCTCAAAAGAAAAATGAAAAGGAAATTCTGACTGTTCCTCAGCATGACATAAATATTACCAGAAAGCTTGATTTCAGTGGTTCAGCTCTCCCCCTCCACATAAATTATTTTATTTCGTTGACTGATATAACAATTTACTGAATAGGATAAGTGTTAGATGCACCCTCTATTAAAATATGGCTTGATGTCTAATATAATTATGTTTGTGTAAAAACATGCTACCTTATAATGTACCAGGTGATACTTTACAGACCCTTTTCAGGACACCATTACAGGTGTTTTGTTGTTATTGGAACTTTTGTCATTACCATTGATGCGAGATATTAAAAATGAGTGATGTAAGTGGTGTTTGATTTCATATTGGAAAGGGTGTAAAGAGTAGTGTGCAAAAAGTGTTCAAATATCTATCATTAATGTATTTGTCCTTTGTCAAAGGAATTTTCTCTTTCCAAAACTTTGTAATTGCTATACTTGGTTGGACTTCGTTCATACTTAAGTATAGAACTTCCTGATCTAGTAACCAGTCTGATTCTACTTGTGTCTGATGATATGAATTGTTATGGAATTACTTGGATCCCAATCACCCGGGTTTGTTACCTTGGATGCAGGATTGTTTCTTTACCTGCCAACGTGGACTTCATGATCTTCAACCATCGAGGCAAAGTCTTTCCTGTAGAAATGGATGTGAAGCTGAGACATTGAGGACTTCTATATAATTGGATCAAGTTCCTTCATTTCTTATACCCGGAAGAAATTTTTTTTCCTAAAAAATTGAATGATTTATTTGTGCATTTGATACCAGTGTTGGTTGACATAAGTTTTGCAGTTTCCTTTTGTAGCTTCATACTTAGCATTTCTGTACTGGCACCCAGGTGTCTTTGCAATTTTGACCGGATGTTACTACTAGACCCTTTTATGATTTTGTAGCCTCCAATTTTACCATAACTTTTTTACTACTTAATGGTAATGCTCAAAATTGAAAGCTAATGATCTCGTCTATCTGGGTGAAAAATGCTTGAGCTTGGTTAGGTTGCAAATAATGTGTTCACTGTTGAATACTTTAATGCATTGGGCACATGTTATCCTTTTGAAAAATTATATGAAATGGACATATAATTTATATAAATCTTGAAAAATTATATAATTTAAAAACTATGATAAAATAAAGTTTACATGTTAAAGACAATAAATTTTAAAATTTATCACTGCTAACGATTTTTTTTAAAAAATGCTACTTCTTACCTTAGTTCTCGAGGAAATAATCGAGGTAAAAAATAACATTTGAAAAAAAAGATTCTATATCGATTTTTCAAATAAACAAAATAGAAAGTAGCATTTTTTATATTTTTTCCAACTAGTTTTATCTTCTCTCCTGGTGCCAATGGAAAGGCATAAACCAGAGACTATACATGAGGTGCTCGTAAACCCCTTAGTAGAGGAAGCAACATGTTTAAATTTGTTTCATACCTGTGTGTTCTTTAAATTTGTTCACTAACCAACCTTGCTCTTATCCTGTATTTTCAATAATTTACTATTACTCTGTCTTCATTGTCATGTTTGCCAAAATGTTTAGGCCGTGCCTTCCTCTCTGTTACTTGCTATAGGGTTTTAGTCTACAGAGTATTCTTCCTATTCAATTTTACACTTTTACCCTTTATATTCTGGGTATGATAATGGTACTGTACCGAATGCTTATTTTTTTCAGCAACAAATCTTGGCCATTGATTTACCATGAAATTAAATCAATGGTTTTCAATCATTCAACTTCTGCTTATGAAAAAGCTTAACTTTCAAGTAAAGCTTACTTCCCAAAATAAATGGGAGGACTGTGCACTCCCCCGGATACAAACGTCTTTTTCCTTTTGATTATTTGTCGTAAATGTTGTCTTGTGATGGGAATCACGGGAATCGTGATGCCGTTACGCTTTCTTCTGTGTCGTCGCTTTCATCATATCTACATCTTATCAAGCAACGGGCTAGTGTTTTAAGGGAGATAAAGATGAAGTACTTTTATATTTTCTTTCTCTTTTTTAATCACAATATCTTTTTTTTTCTTTTCATTTTTCTCTCTTTTATTATTTTTTTATCTCTCACTTTCTTTGACTTATTTTACAGTTGACATGCAAAATATCGTAGTTCATATTGAAATATTTAAAATGTTTATTTTACTAAGATTGTGGTGCAAATGTGATGTAGGAATTTGTAATATGTATATATTATTATTAATATTAAATTAGTCATAAATTAATAAATACTTATCTTTTATATCAATTTGTCATATTTGTCTTGATAATTAATTTCTATATACTACAAAATTTTCTACAGTAACAATCAAGGTTAACGATTTTTTTTTTAAATAAATAATCTATTGAGAAATATTAGATACTCTTGGACATATATACCCAAACTAAATAAAATTAACTACGGGGATAGTTAAAATAGATTCATGCTTTTTGCATATCTAATTATCCATGTAAATTATAAAATTTCCTGAAGTAGACTTTAAACTAATTTCCTAAACAGTTGTTTTAATTTTTCACAGCTTATATTTGTTTAAATTTGGGTGTCTACTCTATTCTACTATGTAGTTTGTTTGGTTTACATTTTTCAAGCTACTTAAGTATTTATTTACGTTGACTGCTTACCATCTTTCATAGATACACTTAACAAGCAACGACACGTTATTGGAGCATTTTTGTGGACAAAATCAAAGTAACTAGCGTTTCAAACCAAGCTTGAATTGAAAAGATTAAATTAGGGGAGGGAGAATATCAAAGTTGAGAAAGAGACAAGAAACATAAAATAAATATGAAAGGAGTGCAAAACATGGGTATAGAAAAGTTCAGCAAAAATAGTAAATAACTTATAAGTTTTCTTCATTTATTATAATAAATTTTAGGGTCTTGTTAAGACAATAATTAAAGAGTTAATATGTATTTCTTTTTACACCATAACATTAACTAAATCAAATAAACCAAATTACTTAATTTATTTTAAAATATTATAATTAATTTTAATTTTGGTTTCACTAACACAAATAAGAAAAAGATAATACGCATTTTACAGAAACTATAAAGTAAATTATAAAAATTACTATTCAAATCTTATAGAATGTCTTATTAAAAAGATCAGAGAATAATAATTTTTTTATTAAAAATTATGTTGAGATGCTTTAGAAATTATATGGAACTAATATCTTTAACGCCTACATTAGTATTTTTTTAATTTTTTATAATCAAAGGTATGATTTAAATATTAGTATAAAAATATTTTATTATATAAAACTTAATTAATATATTTTTTTATTAAAATTTATATTTGATCCCTACAATTACTCTCATTTACAAAGAAGTTTTTGTGCTTAAAAAAACTATATTTTAGTTCATATAAAATTTTTTTTATCACATTTTGATCATCGATATTTTCATATAAATTGTGTTAAAGTATCTGATTATATCTTGTAATTTTTAATAAAAAAATTATTATATATAAATTATTCTTGTATACTCTTAGATATGAGTCAGAAAAAATGTTATTAAACTCATCAAGATCAAAATATAATAAACGCTCACATGAAAACTAAAGAATATATATATATATATATATATAATTTGTAAATAAGTATAAATGGTAGGAATTAAATTTATATTTTAATTCTATAGTTTTAAAAGCAAGGATAAAGAAAAAGTGGGCCTGGAATACTTATATTGTTAATTATGAAAATGATTTAAAAGTGATGCACGTTTTTCTTTACGTGCAAATGCGGTAAGTGGGCCAGTTGCCTGTATATATAGAACGATTTACAGTTTATAGGAATCTATGAGCTTAGAAGGTAGATGCTAATTGCAAGGTTTGTTGTCCATTACAGAAGGTTTTCAAATTAGTCAATGTGTAGATTAGGTTCAAAATTTGAACAAGTTTTCCTTGTCAATGCTTGATATTTATGTAACTATTATATGATAATGAACAAAATGTAGTGTTTGATGAACAGATTGTGAAGATGGGAGCTGGTGGCCGAGCCTCAAGTCCTCCAAAGCAAAGAAAATCAAAGGATGATCCTATGAAGCGGGTGCCACATGCCAAACCACCGTTCAGTCTTAGCAAGGTGAAGAAGGCAATTCCACCACACTGTTTTCAGCGTTCACTGATTCGGTCATTCTCCTATGTCTTCATTGACCTTACCATAGCCTCATGCCTCGCCTATGTTGCACTTAATTACTTTTCCACCCTTCCTCATAACCTTTCACTTTTGGCTTGGCCCCTTTATTGGGCTACTCAGGGTTCAGTACTAACGGGTGTTTGGGTCATTGCACATGAGTGTGGCCACCATGCTTTCAGTGATTACCAATTGCTTGATGACTTAGTTGGCCTTGTTCTTCATTCGTTTTTACTTGTCCCTTATTTTTCATGGAAATATAGCCATCGTCGCCATCATTCAAATACGGGTTCTCTTGATCGTGATGAAGTTTTTGTGCCAAAGACAAGGTCTAGCTTGCGTTGGTACTCTAAGTACCTTAATAACCCACTAGGAAGAGTTCTCACAGTTGGTGTTACTTTACTTCTTGGCTGGCCCCTTTACTTGGCTTTCAACGTTTCAGGAAGGTCTTATGATAGATTTGCATGCCACTATGACCCGTATGGACCCATTTATTCGGATCGTGAAAGGCTTCAAATTTATGTGTCCAATATTGGGGTTCTAGCGATGTTTTATGGGCTTTATCGTCTTGTGGTGGTAGAAGGCCTTGCTTGGGTTGTTTGCGTTTATGGGGTGCCACTGCTTGTGGTTAATGGGTTTTTGGTGTTAATCACGTATTTGCAACACACTCACCCTTCGTTGCCTCACTATGATTCCTCTGAGTGGGAATGGCTTAGCGGGGCTTTGGCCACTGTGGATAGAGATTATGGAATTTTGAACAAGGTTTTTCATAACATTACCGACACACATGTGGCACATCACTTGTTTTCCACAATGCCTCATTATCACGCAATGGAGGCTACTAAGGCCATAAAACCCATTTTGGGAGATTACTATCAATTCGATGGGACTCCTATTTATAAGGCAATGTGGAGAGAGGCAAAGGAGTGTATTTATGTTGAGCCCGATGAAGGGTCTAAGGGCAAAGGTGTTTATTGGTACAAAAATATGCTGTAATTTCCAGAGTGGTCACTAGCTTGTGCGTCTCTAATGTTAGTTATGCATCTTACAAAGTAATTTTCGGGATCCCCTTAATAATGGTAGTAAGGAAGGACATATATATTGATTATGCACAATGGTCTGAAACCAGTTCGTGCGTTGGGAAGCCAATTGTAGCTCTTGGTTTCAATTATAGTATATATATGTACCACAGAAAGTGAAATTATGCTTTGATTTTTATCGTTGCTTTTATTTTCTTTCTCAATACTCTTTATAATTCATAACCCTCAACTGTTGGGGATGTTTTAACGATACGGGTGAACTTTTCTATTTGAAAGAATTATAAAGGAGGATCTATTCAAATGAAAAAAAATATATGTTAATCTTATATGCCATTAATCACGTTTTTGTTAAAAGATAAAGAAAAATGTTAATCATACATACTGTTAATAACTTTTCAACCAAGTAACTAGAATTAATATTTTCAAAATTATACTGGTCATTGAACCAGTAAAGTACTATTTCATAGTTGATTGATTTACTAAGTTTGAACAGATAATAATAAAATATAGAATTGTAATATTTTATAATATATTAAACAATAAATTAATGTAAAATTATTAAAAAAAAGAAAGAAAGTTAAGTTAGCTAAAATTTTAAATTAACATAAAATGATCATATTGGATGATCTATATCGTAATAAATAGTTATAAACAAGAATAATTTTAACGTAGATATCGTGTGTAAATATTTATTTATTTGAACAATTAACAAAAAGTAAAGAAAAATTATTGAGACTCGTTCAAACTAATTTTTTATATCAATTTTTAACTGACTTTAACTATTACTTTAATCGGTTTAACCAGATTTTGACTTATTTTTTAATTAAAAATCGTCTGAGTTAATTATGTGTCTGATTCCGGAGCATGGTTAGAATAGGTTGGCATTAAAATTGTGGATCTTGGTTTCCCGGAAATTACATGTGTAAAAGAAGGTGTGAGTGTATTGATATAAGTCAATTTTGAAGGCTTCTGCTCTTACATAGCTAATTAAATTATTGAAAGCTGATAGGGATTGCTGGGCCAAATGTATGTGCAAAAAAACACTCTACTCCCCACTATTTCATGTATTTTATTCTTGCCCCATTTATTTCCAAGGATAACGACATTCTCATCACATTGAACTTATTCCTTATGGACAAAAAAGCAAAAGAGATAAACCTTATCATTACATTTAAGAGTTATCTATTTATATATATATATATATATATATATATATATTATTAAATGATTTTTAAATTATATAAATATTTCATTAACTTTATTTAGTAAAAATTACATATATATATATATATATGTTTAAAATTAGATTTATTAAGTGTATTTTAAGGATAGATACTAAGTAAAATATAGAAAGAGAGAAAGGGGGTGTATATAATATATTAGATAATAAATAACTTTAATCAAAAGATTAATTTACTTTTACTTACATTTTTGTATAAATAGAAGTTTTTTTTATATAATATTTTTCTTTCCATTTAAGATTTTATATTTCTTTCCTATTTTAAACTAGCATTATATTAATTACTTAACTTTCTCTTCATTATTACTCTTTTGTATAATTTGTTGTTAAAATTCATTAGAGCTTATAAATGAGTTAATCTTCACTCATTTATCTTTAATTCATGTGAACTAAGAATTAAAAGCTTACAAAGCTAAATAAGTCACAATTTAAAAAGTTTATAAGGCTTAGTAAGCTAAAGTTGGCCCATAAATAAACCCATTTTAAAAAAATATTATTTAACTAACTTTTTAATTTTTGTAAAAATTAAATTAATATTTGTATTTTGAAAGACTTAAGACTTAAGAGTTTTTTTTTTTTTAATATTTAGTGTTATAGTTAGTTCTATATTTTCTAAAATATTTTATTATGAGGAGACTTAAGACTTAACTTTAAGAGTTTGTTAATTTGTTTAATATTTCATGAACCTTTAAAAAGGTTTAGTTGAAGATTTTTTTTTCTATTTTTAAAAGATTTAGCTAAAGATTATTTTTTAATTTTAAAAAAGGATTTAGCATATTCTTAAACAACTTTCTTTTTATTTAGTTTAAATAGTTGCACTAGTTTCTTGAATAATTTTGAATTTTTATAAAAGAATATACAACTAATTATTCAAGTTCTCAAACAACTACAATTTAAAGGTCTCTTATTCTTAAATCAACGAGAAAAACCTTCTCTATCTCTAAGGTATTATCCCTTTTTAACAACATATACATTTTAAAAGTATTCTCACAACTCTTGAACTTTTTGTTTCTCAAATTTTTATAACTCATTACATTTGATTCTCATCTTTTCATGATTGCACCATTACCCTACAAATAGTTTCTCAACTCACTCATTTACTTGTATGCAAGATCTAATGTTATATTTCAAGTTTTACAATCGTCTATTAGAGCAACACTTAGATAAAATAGAAACATCTTTATCAAAACTTTTAAAAACTTACATGATCTTGTCTGAAATTTATATACATAGATTTATATGAGCATTATCATATAAGTGTGAGTTATGCTGAAACATGAACTTTGTTGGTAACTTAGCGTAAATTTCCTTATTAGACTATGTTACTCACTTCTCTCAATGGATTTATATAGATATTATATAGAACTAAAAGAAAAATAAATGTAGCGAATGCTAAGGGTACTTTAATGGTTTTTTCCAATGCACTTAAGGAAATATAAACTAATTTAATATTAATAAAAGAAAAAGAAACATTCAATATGCTAATGAATCAACTTATGTTTACTAGTCCTATATCAAAATTGAGGTAATAGACAACCCTTTCTGTCATAATTTCATTCCATTCATATGGTATGCATCGACTAATTAACTTAAAGCATAATTAGCATCCCTAATATACTAGGGCAAAAACACAAAGATTGTTGGGAGGCATCTGCAGATTAATAATTAAAAATTTCTTTTTATTTCAGTCTTATCTACAAGTGAAAAAACTACTTGTACTTAGGTGTACATTTAGTTGTACCCTTAAATGAGTTGTTCTCTCCTCAGCCAAAAGGATTATAAATGATTACTATTGCTCTAGAGTCTAGAATTCATACCTATCCTTTTAATCATTCTTTTCTTCTACCAAATACATCTAAAATAAATATTGCTAGTGAGAGGAAATAAACAATTAACAAAAAACAATAGTAACATATCATTGGATCGTTATGTGATGTAACACAAACTATTCAACTTATATTGCCTAATAACTTGGTTATGGAATTTCTTCTATAGGTTAGATTTATGAAAATTCAAATAATGATAAAAGAGAATAATCGATAAAATGAAATTACTTAACCCATTTGAGTACTCTACATCTTTCTAGATTATCAGTGGAAGCTCCAAATGAAAAAATAACTTCTTGGAGTGCATTAAAAAAGTTATCCATTATAACCTTAATCTTCTATTCCTCCACTAACTTGGTGAGATCATTTACACTCAACTGTTTGTTTAAAACATGAGACTATACTTTTAACAACACCTTCTAATTTTGCTCTACTCTAGTTTTTTGTTTGAGCAGTTGGCAATCCTATATTCCCATAATAAACATCACATGACTTTTGTAGTTCAATCAATATGATTAAATAATTTTTATGAATTCCATTTCTTTTGTTAAAATGAAAAATACTCCGTCATAGCAAATTTTGCTTCATCTTTATTTGTATGATTGCCAATAAAGATGAACTTGATCAAAACAATTGAGTATATATAATATCTTAAACCATTAATTATATCCTTATATTAATAACTAAAATCATTAAAAAAAATTAAAAGTCTTCATTTTTCAATTCATCACTCGCTTACAATTTCATCTTCTTGATGGATAGTTAATTCTTCCACCCCTTGATAAATAAATTTACAAATATTTTTATCTAAATCACACAAGCAAATTAAAAAATGATTAAATAAAAAGTTAAAATTTTGTAATTTATTTACGTTATGCGACCAACTTTAACTCTTAACTACTTATATTTTGACTTTAAAAATATATTTAAAATAAAATTTGAGTATAAATAAATGATAAACTTGGAAATTAAACATTTTTTTGTCAAATATTCATAGATAAAAAATCTAGCAACACCTACAAAGAATGATAACTAATAAGAACATTTCAACAATGCACAAATAAATAAACATAAAAATAATAAGCACACTTATTCAAATTAATTAATTGAATTAACAATCATAAAATTACTAAACACAACAAAGTCATAAAAATATAATTTTGAATTAAGCCACTTTTTTTTTTCTTTCTAGATTTGCACTAGCCTAATAATAAATCAAATAAAAAGGACTAAAATGACAACTTGAATCATAATCATTGAGCAAAAGTAACTTGTAAGTAGTTCAACAATAACAATTTGTGACATAGTAAAATTTCATGTACATGCGAGCAGTTCAATTATAAAGAAAAAATGAGATGAAAAAATAAAGATAGTAAGTAATAAATTTTTTTTTTTTGTTAATGTCAATTTTTAGAACTGATGATAAATAGTTAATAATAATAAAATTTTATTAAAATGAAAAGTATTTATTATATTTTTATAATTTTAATATAATAAATTTGTATTTTTTTTATAAAATTTTTTTATTTATAAATGCTAAAACTCAACTATAAGGACAAGTTAACAAAATCCTAAAGAAAAAAGATGAAAGTAAAATAACAAAGACAAAATAGATGAGTAAATAGATAAAAAAATAACAAATAAAAAACTCTTATATTCAAGAGAAAAATGTATAAGTACATGAATAAATAACCTTATAAAAAATAAAGAGAACTTATGATGTGGAGGAACTCTAAAAAACGGTACTAAGAGGGGCAGCTAGAGTTTAGAAAAGCGATATTAAGAAAATGAGAGAAAACTTTGAAATTAAACTTACACAAACAAAAAAAAAAGTAACAAAAAAATTTCCAATTCTCACCAATCAAAAAGGCTGACTTTAGGGAAAAGCGT